GATTCTCATTTGCATCGACTTCGGTCCATGTGAGATTTGACGTTCGACACAAAGTAGCAGTAGTATGCTGTAAGGATGGAAACCTTTGTGAATTTTATTGGTTTCTTGTTATTTTTCTAGCATCTTGACCTCATATAACGAGATTTGGACTGCGTAACACTAATGAAATCCAACGTGAAATACTACGATATCGAAAAAGGGCAAGTTATATAGCTGAGAATGAGGTTATTACACCCCACCAAGACATCAGTTTGACCATATGCTACCTTAACGGACCAAAATAGGAAAATAGAAAAGAAGGCAAAGGCAAAAATATATCTAAATGAAAAAAGCCAGCTTAATTTCATATCATTTAATTTGATTTGATTTTTAAATGCCCTAATAATTATGTAATTAAAGACCAGTTTTCAATCAATGCATTTCATTGGAATGAATAAAGAACATGACAAATAAAGACTTTATTGATTTCAGTTCTTGTATAGCTATATCACCATTATGGTAGTCGGTTTGGGTGTGTTGTGTGTTCCCTAGTTGCTTGTCCAATATYGTTACTATAAAGAAAGAGTATATTCGAAACGACAAAGTCCATTGAAATTCCATTCCAATTTCCATGAGATAACGTTACCAATCAATGTTTTAGATAAGAAAGGAGGTCTGGAATGTGACTTTGACATTAATCCACACAGGTGCCTCATCGCTAAAAGCAAATCAGCCTCGTTTCGAACGTAAAAAGGTTGAATCCCGAAGGTTAATTTGTGAATGTAGTCGCTTTCTTAACGAGTCAAACAGGATGTGGGTTTCCTGTGTTATTTACAAGTTACCCACCCTGTCCCCACCCTTACAGAGTGACTAATAGCAATCAAATCAACCGAGAAAGCACAGGACTTTTCAATGGAAGAATGATGGGCCGAAGATACYCTATAGTCGTTTTTATACCGACCTTCATTCATCCAATCCGAAGCAGATCATTAACAGCAAAATTCAACCAAAATTACACTTAACTTACGATATATTTAACAGACTTTTAGTTGGTATCAGCCCGGCTTTATTTTGATTTTGTGTGTGTTTATGTGTTTCACCTTGAGTATTACAATCTAACAATTAGTGTTTGACGGGTTTTGTGCCATGCCTTTCAACAAAGCAACATTCGGTCACTTTAGAGGTCCTAAGGCTTGTCAAACTTTTAAAAGCATCGTAAAAGTCAAAATTGTCAGGATAAGTTACTAAAGGATATAAATTCAAAGCACTTTCAAATGTACAACTGACGGTAAGAGTATGAGTTAGAATAGTTCATAAATGCGTGCATTTAAGCGGATTAAAACTCTCTAACAAATGAAAATAGATTTTGTTATGAAGTAAAAAAGAGCGGCGACTACTGAAAAAATCCGCAGGTTTTTTTTTATCGATTTAACATCGGTCAACTGTGAGTGTACAATYATGATCAAGTTAAAGGAAAAACAAATTTCATTGAAGATAAAAAACAGTTTCTTACATGGATTTTAGTGATAAGTTAGTAAACGAGACAGACGTGAATCTCAATTATCGCGGCTTAGACTCGGCGTCCCCTTATTCACCCAATCCACAGAACGTTTCATTATGGATTTTTACTTATTGATTATAATCCCTTCACTGTATTCAAATCTACTGGTATTATCTTACTTTAATTTAAGGAAAAGTCTACTATATGTTAAAAATGGGAACAAAACTGAACCCGTTAGCGTTCTTCGAAGAAATTTCCAGTGCATTTCTGGAAATATATTTGTGAGATTACATAAATCAATGTCACTTATGGTAAGTTATAACTACAAAATAAAGCGTACCAAAAAAACTCTGAAATCYTAGAGCAAAATCGTCCCTAGCACTAGTTATTCATAAAGAGACGGCACGGCGTTTAGGCGTGCCATGATGACGATATAAAGAGGGCATTTTAATGGCTATATTGCGCTTGGCCCTTTACGTAAAGATATGTTAAATTATCTGATTATCGTAAGATAACTAGCAATAGTTGAAGACGTATTTGATAATATTACTTATTTGCAGGTTACTGATCGATTAAACTTGTGAATGATATACATCCCACGATATGTCATRTACGAAACCCTATCTTATACTGTTAAGAGACGGACCACTAGAAAAGGTAGGGGGGATCTTGAGCCACTTATACTTCTTTGGACTTTTTCTCTGATCCCCTAGTCCCCCCTTTTCTACTTCTACTTCTTCGCCCCTAAGCGACATGGAATTCAGAAGAGTGTTTGAGACGATAACTCCGATTGTAGACCGCGATTCATCGGCCAACTCTCATTTAAAGATATCAACAGATAAAAAATCTYGACATTCAAAGACTTCCTTTGACTGAACATTACATTTAGCGCTTAAAATCAAGTGCGCAATGAATATTATGTGATGTATGATTACTCTTTTAATAATAATAAAAAATGTTGTTTATTTTTGTTTATCATTTTTGCGCTGTTTGTCATTTTTCCTGTGCATTCTTCCTGCGTGTATTATGAAGTCCCTGTCATAGTTCCTGTATGATAGTTCTTATAACACATTGATCTCAGTAATAGTAAAATGATGGACCTGYAATTCCGATTAATGATCTCTTCAAACGTGCACCGACGATCGACCTACCACTCACTGCAAGCCGACAGCAGTGTTCAATCGGCACGACAGACATAATCATTGCATTTGGTACTCAAAAGAGTCAAKCGCATGMCGTGACATGGWTTTTGAAGTTGGATTTAATTATTATGCGTTTTATACCACTGAGGGATGATATTAAAAAGATATAAAACAGACATCACACTATTCTCGAGGCGACTTTCACTATTAATGAGTATATTTAGTMGTCGGACTTGGATCGTGAAAATGMCGATTGGTTTCGTTCAATAAACGGAAACTGTTCGTGAGTAGTCGGAACTGGATCGTGAAGAGACAGGAACGCCTTGTAAGTAAGAGACTACAGGTCGGTAACGCGCATATGGAGGCCATACCCGTAGCCGCAAGCCCTTTTTAGTTGTAAATCTTYCTTAATCCGAACCAGAAATCAGTCTCATARGCCATTACTCACAAATCGTCATAATTCAAATTCTTGTTAATAATCTTGGGCGTACTCGTCTGATTAACGGTTCCTTTTGTGCATTATAAGTACGTCATGGKGTGCTATAATTGCATGTCGGTATTGAGTATAGGATAGAAAGGTCATAAACAAGATTCCTGTACATTCCATTCAACAAGACTAAATGTGATTATAGAACACTAAATGGGTTAAACAGGTCAATAATTGACGTGTAATGGTTGTAATGCCTTGAACACTATGCAAGTACTGAATTTCAACTAAGGAGACTATTAAAGTATCTTTTACGCAATATCAAAATACCGAAGAGAAGTTAGCAGGAGTCAAAAATTAACAATGTCGCGAACTAAAATTTCTCAGTTGTTCAAAGCTTGGCCCTTTGTTAGGCAAATAAGGAGTGTTTGTCTTTTTTCACAGGCATAAACCTCTAAATGGAGGGTCCTTTCATACTACAATCCTAGACAAAACTGAATTGGACAGAACGCTATTACTGCGCTCTAGCAGATGCACTCTCTTATGGGCTGCTTTAATGCTTACTCAAAGCCTCCCCCTCCCCCCACAGTCAATGTTGGTTAACAATGTTGTTGGCGGAAATGTTTCGGTATGGAAGGAGGGTTTGTTTCGAGCCCAACATTGGAAATGG